CAATATCTTATTATACACAAGTTGTTCATCAGATTTGATCAGAGTTTCTTTTAGTTCCCTTCTCCCAACCATTTTCTGTTAGGTATTTTGCAAACAAGGCCACATATTTCTCGAGACAGAAGGAGATTGAAATTAAGAGACTAACAATTGGCGACCCTGGCAACTCATCGAACCAACAATAATAATTTATTGGAACAGCATGCAACAATTAACAATTAAGATTGATGAATACACGAACCACATTAAATTTAACAAATACACCAATTAGTGCTCTTCAACTGACTCCCAAGCGTCGAAATCAGCAGCAAACAATAACAAAATCACAACATCAACGACGATTTACGTTAGTGCCATCAATACAACAACAAATTTTTTTGTTACCATCCCAGTCAACGTCCACGTTATCCGAAACTTCGTCTACATCCTCTCATTCACCTTCACCGTCGATTACTCAAATAAATTTACAAAATAACTCGACAATGATAGACAACAATGATATATTAGAATTAGAAGAAATGAGAACAAAACAAATCGAAATCGAAAATAAATTTTTATCCAAAATACCAAATTTCATATCACCGGAAGACACAAATATTACTGATTTCATTTCAACAGCTGAAAATATATTTGATAAATTAAATTATTCAGATGACACACGTGTACATAAAATTGGTGATAAATTAGATGAAACATTACAACAATGGTATAAACATTTTACAAAAACAAGTAAGCCAACATGGAATAATTTTAAAGAACAGTTACCCACTTGTTGTGAAATAAATACAAATGAAAATCAACAACAACAATCAAATGATTCAGACGAGGAATTTACATCACTATTAGATCTTATACGTCCACAAGTTCATCCATTTACAGGTGAAGAAGATGCAACACATTGGTTTACACAAATTGATTCAAAATTATATGAATTGAATTTAACATTTCAAGATCGAATTGCAATCATTCCATATCTATTAAAAGGAAATGCAATCATTTGGTACAGTTTAAACAAAGCCAGAATCAATTGTTACATTGATTTTTGTCAATTGTTTGCTGAAGAATATATTAATAAACAACAATCATCTTCATGTGATAAACCAAAATTAAATCGAACAACAAATTCAGTTATAATTAAAAAATCCGCTGTTGGATTAGCTGGCATGCCGACGATCGCGGAAATGTCAGCGTCCTCTCACGCCACAAGATGTGGAGTAGTTGCCGGTCCATCATCCCTGTCCCCAGTCATATCTAAAGCATTGTTAGATAAATTTGTAAAAGACCCAATCAAATTTAATGGTGGTAAAGATAATGTGCATACATGGCTAGAAGAAATTGAACAACAGTTTAAAATTATGAAATTAGATAATTCAGACAAATTAAATTTAATTCATATTTGTCTTAAGGGAGAAGCACAACAGTGGTACAAACAACATAAAGATCAAATTGATACATGGCCAATATTTATTAATGATCTGATAAAAGCATTTACATCAAATTTTAAAAGAGATTTAGCATTTCAGAAATTAAAACAATATCATCAAACAGTTAATCAATCAGTCATACAATATTATGCAGAAATGATGAAAGTAATTAAACAAGCTGACCCAGACATGAATGAATCTACCAAAGTACAATATCTAATGAATGGGTTACGACCATCACTATCAATTGAAACAAGAAGGAATTATCCAACAACAACACAAGAATTTTTACAACAGGCTCAGAAGGCAGAAGAACTAACGGCAATCAGTACCATAACGACGTCAGATTTAGTTACCACAGACGATTTATCAACAGCTTCTTCTCTTCTACATCATCAACCAAAGTATTGGTCATCACGCGGTCGACCAAATAGAAGCAATGGATCGTTTTCAGCACAACAATACCAGTCGTCCGATCAACCACGTTATATACCATCAACACGAAATATTCAACAGCAACCATCTTCTACCATTTCATCGTCAATTAATAACAATAATCAACGACTCAGACCATGTTTTAATTGTGGAGCCACCAATCATTTGGCTCGTGATTGTCGCCGTTTCGGGCAGCAGAATCAATGATTGATGGTATTGATTCTGCTCATCAATGTCAACATCCATCAAAATCGTCTCTTATTTTTGTTACAACAGCAGTCAACAACAAGAAAATGAAAATTTTGATAGATACTGGTGCAAATCAATCATTCATCAATGAAAAATCATTAAGATCCACCAATCATCCAAAATATTTAACTTCACAAAAGTACCAATTCTTCATGGCAGACGGATTAACACCATTTATCGTCACCGGCGCTGTTCAACTGAAGATACAGATGAATGGTACATCTACAACAATTACAGCATTGGTAGCCCAGAATTTATGTACTGACGTAATTTTAGGTATGGATTACATCTTCAAATATGATTTAGGAATACAACCACAGCACAAGACTGTCTCTATTAAATCATATGGCAAAAAGACCATCATTCCAATGGATAAAGACGTAACACAAATTCGCCTCCCTGTCAAATTGTCTCGTTCGATACAAATACGACCAGAATCAGAACAAAGTATATCTGTCGATGTAGGTGTTTCAGCGGCAATTTTGTCGTTTCGTCCATCCTCTAATTTTGCTCAACGTACCTCTACATTCATTCCACATTCACTACTAAATATCCAAAATTATCGAACGAATTTGACAGTGTATAATCCGTCAAAGTTTCCATGTTATATTAAGAAAGGAATCATCTTAGGAATTTCAACATATCAAGATCACTATGCATGCAATGAAAATGATAAATTAAATGATAATGAAATTACTTACTCTGCCGGTTCAGCTGGCATGAGGGCGAATGGAATTAATGCAATTGAATCAACATCTGTAAACGATAAAGTCCAACAAGAAATTTTAAAATTAATTGATCATATTAAAGATAAAGATCAACATCACAAATTGAAATCATTACTATATCAATTTCAAAAAACATTTGATACAAGTCAATATACAACAGCAAAAACAATAATTATGCATGCAATTGAAACTTATCCACACACACCTCCAGTATCCAAATGTTATCCAAGTAATCCAACGTCCATTGAAGAAATGCGTGAGATCGTCAATAAGCTATTGGAAGCTGGTCTTGTACGTAAATCCAAATCACCATATGCAGCACCTGCTTTGTTAACAAGGAAGAAAGATAATACATGGCGATTAGTGGTAGATTACAAGAAACTTAATGCAGTTACCATTAAGGACAATCATCCATTACCAAATATGGAGACAACAATCCAGACATTAGGTGGCGGCTATAATTATTTTACAAAATTGGATTTAAAATCCGGATTTTGGCAAGTGCCAATAGCTGAGAAAGATCGTCACAAGACAGCATTCACAACACCTTTTGGCTTATATGAATGGAACGTCCTTCCACAAGGTCTTCGTAACGCGCCGCCTACATTTCAGCGTATTATGAATCAAGCTTTATTGTCGTGTACAAAATTTGCATTAGTGTATCTGGACGATATCATGGTTTATTCCAAGACGTACGAAGAACATTTATATCATGTACAACAAGTATTACATGCATTAAAATTACATAATTTAACATTAAATCCATCAAAATGTGAAATTGCAAAACAGCGAATTGAATATCTGGGACATATCATTACATCATCAACCGTCACTCCATTGATGGACAAAATTAAAGCTATTCTGTTATTGAAAGAACCAAAAACATTGGCACAAGCAACTCGTTTCATTGGCGGATTGTCATGGTATCGGAAATTTATTCCACAATTTGCGACCATTGCAGCACCGATACATGCCATTACCAATTTACCAAAACAGACCAGATACAAATTCAAATGGGCTCAAGAACAATCAAAATCGTTCCATGCATTGAAACATCTATTAACGTCAAAACCATTATTATTAGATTTCCCGGATGATACAAAACCGGTTATAGTAACTACAGATGCATCTAAGGTGGGAATTGGAGGTGTGCTTCAACAAGAAATTGGTGGTGAGAGAAAAACACTTTATTATCATTCTGAATTAATGTCACCATGTCAGCAACGTTATCACCCAATGGAACAAGAAGCACTGGCTATATTTAAATGTATTACAAGAATGAGATCATTTCTTATTGGTCGAAGTATCATAATCTATACAGATAACTGTCCTTTGTGTCACATGATGGAGAAAAAAGTTGCAAATAGAAGAGTGGAAAAAATGGCATTATTATTACAAGAATATAATATTGAACAGATAATTCACATAAAGGGAAGATACAATTGCTTACTGGATTATCTTTCAAGGCATCCAATATCCAACGACGATGAATTATTTGATTATGAATACGGATTAGAACCGAAGAATGAAACTTCGCAGCCTCTAATAGGGCGTGCGGCGGCAGTGATTACAAGATCAAAATTTAAGGCCAATGCTACCAATCCATCCTCGAATCCACCAGTACAACAGCAGCCAACAAGTCCACAAATCGCACCATCCATTGTGTCATCTCAACCACATTATATCATTGAAAATTTTGATATTACCAAGCTAAAAGAAGAACAGAAGAATGATATCAATATACAGAAAATTATTAATGATTTGAAGAAGAATCCAAAACTATCGTTTGAATTAAAAGATGACATTTTATACAAGTTGATATTAAACGATAATGGAAAAACAAAAAGAAAAGTTATTTATATTCCATCGTTGATGATTAAACCATTGATGATTTCATATCATGATAATCCACTGATAGGTGGTCATTTTGCCAGCAATAGGACATTGAACAAGATCAAGCAACAGTTTTGGTGGCCACAAATGAAACAATCGGTATTTGATCATATTAAATCGTGTATTGCATGCCAATAACGCAACATTAGTCGACAAAAGCGAGCTGGTTTTCTTCATCCAATTCCACCTCCAGACGGTCCAAATCAATTGATAGGAATAGATTATTGTGGGCCATTTCCACAAACACCAAATGACAATAGATATGTCCTATGTTTAACTGATTATTTTACCAAATTTGTTACAGCCATTCCACTGCCTGATTGCTCTGCACAAACCACAGCTCAAGTTATATTTACACAACATATATGTAGGTATGGCGTACCAAAAGCAATATTGTCAGACCAAGGTACCAGTTTCAAGAATCAACTGATGCATGCGATTACAAAATTGATTGGTTTTAATCACATATTTTCTACTCCATACCATCCCCAGACAAACGGTCAGGTAGAACGCTTTAATGCAACGTTTATTACACAAATTGCAAAATTAACTGATAATGAATCCAACAATTGGGATGAGTATTTGTATCCTGTCGTCTTCGCATATAACACCGGCATCCATTCGACGACAAATTTTAGTCCATATGAATTGACATTTGGCAGCAAAGCAAATTTACCAACAGATCATCCACCGTCGACGTTTACATCTGGCAAACCAAATGACTATTTCTATCAATTGATACAGAATTTGAAACGTTATCATGCAACAGCAAAAGAGAATATTTTACACCAACAACGACTTTATAAGACCAGATATGATCGTCAACGTCAAGATTGCGAATATGATTTAGGTGCAACAGTTTTAACAAGGATTTTCACAACTAGATCAAAATTAGATCCGAAATTTTCGTTGGTTCCAAAAATTATCATTAGAAGATCTCATCCAGTTTATTGGGTGGAAGATATGGAAACGAAAGAAGAATCAAGGGTACATGTGAATGATATACGACCTTTGATGATTGCAACAAGCTATTAGACGTTTATATGGTTGAAGCGTTTAGTGAATTACCATTCAGTGATATTATGGCACTTGGAACTTCGAGTTATGCAAAAAAGAACCTTTGTAACCGCTTCTGCTTAAGACGGAGGCTGGCGAAACATCCTTTTAGGAAATGACAAATTCAAGACAGTATTTTGTAGGCTGAAGTGAAAGGCACACAAGAGAACGTTTAGGATTTACCATGGTTTAAAAAGAATGTATATTCATTATTACTGGCCAGGATAATGATTATTATATTCTTAGTTTGAATTTTGGCATGATGAAGAGATTATTACAAGTCCAATGTCAAATAATGAATGAATTTACTAATTACTACTTACCGGACGCGGTTGGTTAATGCTTCAATGGTTCATAATTGCCAAAACATTAAAGTTTCTTATTAATCTCACTATTCATTATGTATTAATTGTTACGTCTGATAAATATTATCCAGTGTATTTGTATGATTCGAATCGACACTTAGTTATTCAGAAAGAGAATTGACGAATACACACATTGTCTTCCAATTTATGAAAGTGCCTTATTCTTTCAGTTCTATCTCCACTATTCCATTTTTGATATTGTACAAAAAAAAAAAAAGAAAAGAAAGATACAACATCTTTTTCGGCGGCCGGGAAGAGTGTTATGATCTCAGTGACCTTCACAGTCACATTTTTCGATTATATCTCTTCTTGACTCTTTTCCAATTTCTTATTCATTCTAGGTATGTTTATTCAGTCACATCTCTTTCTGTCCAGACCATACACT